GCGTGCACACTTCGTATCTTATCATATGTCTGTCATTTAATTTTGTCTGATTATAAATATTGAGTAATGCTTGCTTATAACGAGTTGACTTACCAGCCATCTCCAATGCACGTCGTTTGTGTTTCGCTCGCTTACACTTGCTCATGTGCTCACAGCTTTCTGGTCTGCATCATTTATCAATAAAAATGTAGTTGCCGCTTCCCTTTGCCTTCTGATATTATGCACCGTTAAGACTTGTACCATAACGATCATAGAGGTGAACTATAAACGGAACACGGCAAAACAGGAGAATGCTGGTCGGCGGCCTATGCTCCACTGGGAGTAACAGGCGTAAGTAAGCAAGTACGGAATGAACAGAATACGAAGAGATATCTATTCCGTGCTTCTCAATTGTTTTTGTAGATTACTTTTAGAAAGCGATCTTGCAGCATTCCATCATTTTTTATAAGACTCCATTAATTAAAAAAATAAATCATCGTGTTAACTAATGCGTACTAATATCAGATAAGTTTTAGTTATGAGATATTAGAGATCAAAAAGTACCAGATAAAAGTACCTGATGTTGACTAAGACATGAAAATGTGATATAAATTAACAATAAGTAGCCTATTTTATTTACTATTTAGAGTAACACATTAACAAGTTGAAAGTATTCATTGATATTGTATATGTTTCATAATACGAAGTTTGGAAGCATATAGAAGTAAACAAAAGCGAATAAACGGTTAATATGACTTTCAAGCCTGATGAGCGGCCTATGCTCCTCGACGAGGTGTAACAGGCATAAGTAAGTAAGTAAGTAAGTAAGTATGACTTTCAAGTTGTTTATAGTCAACTTTCCCCCTTCCATCATATATATGGATCTAATGACATTTCATTATTCCGTTGTTCATCATTATGATTGTCACATTATTCTCATTTTAATGTTGTACTCTTAAAAAAATAGTTTCCCAATTTCATTATTTATCGATTTAAACATCTTATCCCATTGTTAATCAAGGTTATTTGATTTACCTTAAATTACACAACACTATTGAATTGATCAGTAGTAAATAAAAAACTGACCTTACATTCAATCACTTTTATGGGAAAAAAATATTCCATTTAAATTTTAATATCAGTAGTTTACTGTAACCTTACAGTTTAACTACGCAGTATTATTACTATTATCATTATTAACCAGATTCTGTCGTAAATTACTAGTTGTTCTAAAACTTTTATAAAATATAATGGTTAATGAAAGGGTATCAAAGAATGTGTCTCATGGGAATTGGTCATTCATTTGCGGTCTAACACTTGTCACATTCGCATATATTTCCGACATTATTTTTATCAAATTAATACACTTTAATTAGTTTCTTTACAATTTAGATAATTTTACTATAAAAAAAATAGGTGTGGAGCTAGAAAGTATAGTTTAGGTGGTGAGTTTTTATTTTGTTAACAATGTGTTGTCCTTAACCTATAAGATGACATATTGAAAATTCTAAGGTTTTAAATAGATAGATTTCTTTTCTTGTCATAATTCACTACAATTTTAGCTTTCATTTCATGATTTTTCTCAGGTGCGCTAAGGTGCTTTGTAGCTAACTTAATGGTTTGTAAGCAAAGATGGATAGGGACTAGAAGTGGAATCCAGGACGCATGTTTCGTCCTATTTGGGACTCCTCAGCTAAATGTACCTGCATCTCAAAGTTGATGTTCACTCTGGGACTCGAACCCAGTACCTTTCGCTTCAAACGCCATCGCGTTATCCACTCGGCCACTGAGTCCTGATAGCCGCTTGCTTGTGCGATGGGATGAAGTTTAAATTCATTTAGTATTGTTTGTTTGAATTTTCCCATCGATGTGTTAGGACTGCAACTGGTTAGTCTCTAATTGGCATATGTGCATACCGTGCGTATTGCCTCGATATAGTCTTAATTCACAAGCATTGTAAGCAAAGATGGATAGTGACTAGCAGTAGAATTCAGTTTGATGCGCGTTTCGTCCTATTTGGGACTCGTCATCTGGATGTACCTGTGTGAGGATGATTCACAGGTGTTAAGTCGGCTTCCAGAGAACTCTAACAGAGCCCCCAGAGGCTCATAAAGAGCCCCAACCAATCACCGATTAATTAGAAGTTGTGTGAAGTTATGTTACTAAAATAACGAGATCCTGATTGGCTGATTAACACACTGCTACTATGTAAACTCCAGGTCTCTTAATTACTATAAAATCCCTGTATTTTCTGTACATGAATGAACCTTGCAGTAAAGTGTTTTCTCTCATACTCGAATCTTCTCCCTGGTGTTCAAGTCGCTGAGCAGTTCTAGCCTGGGGTTATCAGAATAGCTTAGGATCTGAATATAGCCTTCAACCTACAGACGTTTCAACCTGCATCTCAGAGTTGAGGCTATATCGAGGCAATAAGCACAGTATGTACATATGCCAATTAAAGAATGACCAGTTGCAGTCCTAACAAATTGATGGGAAGATTCAAACAAACAATACTAAGTGAATTTTAACTTAATGGTTTGTTCATTCAAAACATCTTCATTTGATTCATGCATAATAAATCTAAGTTCAAACAATAGTGTGTATTGCATTATGGAGGAAAAATATGTTTTATAAAATCTCAGCAACTGAATTTGAAGTAAATCCAATGTTTCCCTATACAATCTGATTCAAACTTTTTTCAAGGAAATATAATGGAACATCAAAATCAACGAATATACATAGGTATATCATTATTCGGTTAAATATATACTAATTAAGCCATTCAATCTTCTGTACAATGTTGAAGGGTAAGTATTTGCTGTAGTGCATATGAAACACCTAGTAGTTACCATTCGTTTACTATACGTTCGGATGTAACAAGTTCAGATGTACATATTAATGGCTTTCAACTATTCTAATCAGTCAGTTTACCTAAATATTGTGATGAATAGCTAGCTTGCACAGTAAAATAACACAAACAAACATTTGTTTATTTTCATAGTTGAAAGCGTGAGTCAATTGAAGCTAGACCACCATGGAAAACCTGGAAGCACTGCTTGACGGCCGTTTCGTCCTATTGCGGGACTCCTCAGCAGTGCGCACCCACGATCCCACACTTACAAGATTCGAATCCAGGACCTACCGGTATCGAGACAGAGCCCTTAACCGATAGACCGCAGAGCCGGCATCCAACGGTGTTAATGTCTAACTTCAACTGATCCCATAATAGGACGAAACGGCCGTCCAGTGCTTCCAGGTTTTCCATGGTGGTCTAGCTTCAATTGACCCATGATTTCAACTATGAAAATACTAAATCTCCACAAAACCCCTTCTGATAATTTATTTTTTATTTTGTTTATTTATCTCCATTTTATGTATTCTGTGACGTGTTTGACTAATGTCATCCATAAAAATTGTTTGTTTTCTTAAAAAATTCACCTATCAGAGGCGATAAATAGTCAATGAAATCTCTTCTCACATCTCAGATCCATTTACAAGAACACACGATCTGTTATCTTGACAAACTTTTCGTTACACAGCATGTGTCTCATATACACAACAGCAAATACTTACCCTTTAACATTGTTCACAAGATTGAATGACTTAATTAGTATATGGTTAACTGGAGAACGATATACCTATTTATATTCGATGATTTTGATGTTTGACTATATTTCCTTGGCAAAAGCTTGAACCAGATTGTAGAAAGAAACATTAAATTTACTTAAAATTCAGTTGCTGAGATTTTACAAATATATTTTTCCTCTTTAATGTTTTACATTAACTCGGCACCCAATTACGATGAAACTGTTCATTCATGTTTAAACAAAAGTCCCTAATATAATGTGTATTGGCTTTATCAAAACTTTAGCACAACATAGGGGAGAATAGAAATGGTTCCTTATTAAAAATCACCATTTAACTGAAATACAAAATAAAAAAAACTATTGAAATTTATCTGACATATAAGGAAGAATTTCGCAAATTAAATGATAAACATAAGTACTTTATATCTTTAGTTTTACTACTACTTAGTCCATACAAGCAAACTGCATATCCTTCTTTCGAATTTGTTGTTTAGTTTTGTAGTGTCATTTGTAAGTGCTTGATTGTTTCGTTACTAAATGGTTTCATTGGGCATGTTTCGTTAAACAACATAGATTTTACTGAAAAATTTCATTTCAAATGTAAAATGACTTTAAATCACACTTACAGTCTACATTTTGAAACTGGTTATTTTATGACATAAACGTCTTATATTAAGTTTCAACAATAAATGATTAGTAGAGATCATAAGTCAATTGAAGCTAGACCACAATAGAAAATCTGGAAGCATTGGACGCCCGATTTGTCCTATCGTGGGACTCCTCTGCAGTTCGCATTCACGATCCCGTCTCGCGAGATTCGAACCCAGGACATATCGGTAACGCACGGGAACGCATAACCTATAGACCACTACACATGATTTTTCCTAGCTTTTCAATAACTTGTACAGAATGTCTTCTTTTTAGAAATATCTGTGTCTCTAATTAAAGTCAATCCAGCAAGATAACCTTCTATAAACTGTTTCATTTTGTTTAATTTCCACCATGATGTGATATCAAGTTAATAACTGTTGAAAACAGCATACACTCTGTTTGATCTTGTTAGCAATGAATGTATAATAAAAATAAGTTCTTCCTGTATAGTTATTGCATCAAACCCGTGACATGATTTCTTCAGCATGACAATAAAATCGATCATTTCAATTAAAGAATAAATTGATCAAATAATGGCACGTGTCACAAATTAATAATTTACACTTCGTATAGAAAAATTGAGGTTATAGAACCTGGTCGTCGTCATCATCATCATCACTTTTCCCTACATTTTACAATAATATTGATTGTACATTGTGACATATCTAGTTTAGTAAATAAATCGATTGTAACCTCGTGAAAAATATAAAGAACGGGTATAAATGTACTTTAAACCTCTCAGTAAAGTTTATACACAATCAAGGTTTTCTGACAGCACAGCTAATGACGCTCACATCTGTTAGTGAGATTATTTTATTTTAATTCATAAATACTCTCTTCTTGATGATGATTTCTAATAGATATTATTCATAACGATTTCCTCGACATGTCTCTTCCTTCAAACTGGAGGTAAGTGAAGAGAGAGTCTAATTAATTAACTTGTTTATTGTTATTTTTTTCACTTCAACACATTAATTACTCAAGTGGCATTAATTGTCGTATTCATTATGATATTTTATTTCCAGATGCCATCTCTGTAGACGTAGAAGTTGGTGGTGACGCAGATATCAAAGCAGGTCTTGGTGGTGGGGTAGGTGTCAAAGCAGGTCTAGTTCTTGGTAGGGGAGCAAGAACCAGAAATGGTTATCGAGATGTACGCAATCTTTTAATAGCGAAACGATTAGGTCGTGGTACAATCAGTGGAGAACTAAGTGGTGGTAGTGAAAGTTCAAGAACCGTCAGAAGAGAAGTAATCATAGATCCAGGTCAAGAAGATTCTGAGGAAACAGTGCAACGCAAGAAAATTGTCAAAACGAGAGAGATCATAGAAGTTCCAGCTGAAGAAGAATCTTCCACAAAAACACGCAAAACGATAAATAAGAGAACTATTATTGATGATGACAGTGATTCAAGTTTTGAGATATAGAAAATCGTGTAAAGATCCACTGTATCTAGTAGTGATTTTGATGATGATTATTTGCCATTCTTTTGTCTTACGTTTATTGTTTCACTGAGATTGACGAATGAATAAACCAATATGAATAATTATATTATTTATTTAAACAAAAATCAGATTGTTCATCTAAGAACTTTATGTCCTTTCATAAAGTAAATGTTTTATTATTTCGATTTTAATTGTTACTGTCTTTTAACTAGTAGCATTGATAAGAAACTTGTCTACTTTGAATATTGAAAATGTACAATTAATACTAATTGATGCATGTTGATTGACTGTATCACATATATGTTTTGTGGTATTGGTTATCTATCATTATTACTGTATGTGCTATGGGAAACATACTACTTATTACTAAACTTATTGTACTTTCTAAACACAAAGAAATGTAATTCAGTAATTATATAAACTACTAATTAACATTTAAATTTGTTCAAATGAAGGTGTCTATTAATATATTATTACGTCCTGGGTTCGAATCTCGTGAGGCGGGATCGTGGATGCGCACTACTGAGGAGTTCCACAATAGGACGAAACGGCCGTCCAGTGCTTCCAGGTTTTTCATGGTAATTTAGCTTCAATTGACGCATGATCTCAACTATATAAAATTACTAAAATCTTCACGAAACCCCCTTCTGATAGTATTATCTCCATCAACTCCCCATCTTTTTCAAATAATTCAACATAGTCAGCTGAAAATATCATTCGTAGAGAATATGGAAATTCTAGTAAATGAAACAATCATTCAGGTATATGCAGTTCTTCTAAATGTGTATATTGTTGTTTATTCGTAGTTATTGTCTTATATATCTTTGAGTTGGTAGTTATATTTGATAATATGGTTCTTAAATTGCACCCTACGTCAAATATATATTCATCATGACGTAAAGGAGTATGACTGATACTAGAAATCTTAAACTCAATGGATATTTTGTAAACATTGGATTCATTTTAGTCCTTATCGGTCTTCTGGCAAAATACATTTTGTGTCTGACCATCACCATTTACTACTAATATATCGATATAAGGAGACCATACCACAATATGACATATTAGAAATCTTAAACGCAATGGATATTTAGTAAACTTTGGATATTATTTTATGTTCATTGACTGTTTGTTGTTTAATTTCGAACCACGTTTGTTTTGTTTCATACTTCTGTATATAAGTCAGTATTTCATTTGTTTGACACAATTACGAGTACCTGAATAGTCTTTTTGGTCGTTCAGTATAATAACACTGATGACTGTTGATTACTTATATTCACATTATATTATACCATATTATTTTTGTTTCAGTATTTCTTCTATTATTTTATCCACTTAAAATGCTATTTGTTTATATAAAAACAATTTACTAGTTTGAAGCAGTAAGGTTGATAATAACTAGAGACCATTGAATAGTTGATTGGATTCATTTTGACACTTCTCAACGATATGCAGTTATGATTAAACAAGCGGTCAAACTCAGTCGATGTTAATTTTTGATTAAATATATTCATTCATATCTGCATAAGAATAATTAAGTGAATAGCTTATTACAGTAGAATCGAATGTTTACTTGGAATCGTTACAATCTCTTGAATAATTTATATTTGAGGGGTTTTTTGTGGACATTATAACAATTTTAATAGTTGTAATCATGAGTCAATTGTATCTAGACCACAATGGAAAACCTGGGAGCACTTGACAGAGATTTCGTGGAGTTCAACCTTGTCTGTTGTGAGATAGTAACTCGCTGAAAACAATGGTGGATGTGTCGCTCATTTTCGTGCATTATTTGAAGTTAGACATTAAGACCGATGGATGCAGGCTCCGTGGTCTATAGGTTATGCGTTCCCGTGCATTGCCAACATGTTCTGGGTTCGAATCTCGCGAGGTGGGATCGTGGATGCGAACTGCAGAGGAGTCCCACGATAGGACGAATCGGGCGTCCAATGCTTCCAGGTTTTCCATTGTGGAGATCTCAGTAGATGCGAGAATTACAGAGACATCTGTTTTCTCCAAGTACTAGGAAATGTCTTCAACAGGGTATTGTTAAACAGAATGAAGGACTCCATAGACGTCCAACTTCGAGATCAACAGGCTAGATTGTGTAAGGATCGATCGTGTACAGACCAAATCGCAGCTCTACGGATCATTAAGGAACAAACAATTGAATGGAATACATCACTCTATATCAACTTTATTGACTACGAAAAAGCATTTAATAGCGTCGACTGGACAACACTATGGAGGCTTCTTCGACACTACTGCGTGCCTGAGATGATAGTCAATACAATACGGAATCCCTATGATGGATTAAACTGCAAAACCATTTATGGAGGACACCTCACCGACTCGTTTGAGGTAAAGGCTGGTGTCAGGCAAGGTTACTTACTCTCACCCTTTCTATTTCTCCTGGTGATCGACTGGATTATGAAGACGTCAACAACTGGGGGGAGGGAGGCACGGGATACAATGGACAATTAGGATGCAGCTGGACGATTTAGACTTCACAAATGATCTGACTCTACTATCACACACGCAAAAACAAATGCATGAGAGGACGACCAGTGTAGCAGCAGTCTCAGTAGCAGTAGGTCTCAATATAAACAAAGGGAAAACCAAGACTCTCCTAGATAACACAACATACCTCAATCGAATCACACTTAACGAGGAAGCCTTGGAGGATGTGAAAACCTTTACATATCTGCACAGCATCATGGATAAACACGGTGGATCTGATACAGATGTGAAGACGCGAATCGGCAAAACGAGAGCAGCATATTTACAACTGAAGAACATCTTGAACTCAAAACAATTGTCAAACAACACCAAGATAAGAATTTTCAATAAAATGTCAAGACAGTTCTACTGTATGGAGTGGAAACCTGGAGAACTACGAAAGCAATCATCCAGAAGATACAAGTTTTTATTAACAGTTGTCTACGCAAAATACTTCGGATCAGCTGACTAAACACTATCAGCAACAACATACTGTGGGAGGGGATAAACCAGATTCTAGTGGAGGAAGAAATCAGGAAAAGGCGCTGGAAGTGGATAGGACACACATTGAGGAAAGCACCCAACTGCGTGACAAGACAAGCCTTCACATGGAATCCTGAATGCCAAAGGAGAGGAGGAAGACCAAAGAACACAGTATGCCTTGAAATGGAGACAGACATGAGAATAATGAACAGAAGTTGGATAGAATTAGAAAGGAAGGCCCAGGACAGAGTGGGTTGTAGAATGCTGGTCGGTGACCTATGCTCCATTGGGAGTAACAGGCGTAAGTATATATATATATATATATATATATATATATATATATATACATGTCCTCATGATCCTCCTTGCGTTTAATCATGAATAAATTAACAACATGACCCTAGATTAATTATCATACACTAACATTGTTATTATTATTATTTTAACCATGGATATTACAAACAAAAGATCACCATAGTAGTAACAAAATACTGTTTATGCAACTTGTATAGAACGCAGTCAAATTGACGAAATACATATTGAGATAACATTTAGATTGTATAACAAGAAATAACTCACTAAATCAGCATTTGTTTTCCTCCAAAATCTTATGTAGATCATTTAAATACATTTAATGAATCATAGGATGTAATATATCAAATTTACTATAGATAGTTGGAGTAACACTATATATATTTAAGGGGAATGAATGGCTTGTTGTTGTTTTAGTAGAATTTTCACCTGTGGTGAACATTAGCGGTAATTGTATACTAATAAAACGTACCTCAAATGTTATATATATTTAGGTATTGCCCTATTAACGAAATAAATTACTGGTAGTAAATTTTATGAAGAGAAAAATTCTGCTATCAAAAACGATGGGAAAACTTTAGTTTTGCTGGATAAGGTAATGAGAAGATTGTCATGAACAGAACACTGGTTGGGACAATCGAACGTATACAATCATAAATTACAGACTATCTCACTAAATTCTGACAATCATACAGTCAACAGTTAATTTGCAAAAAAAAAACAATCTATTGTTTCAATCTTGACTGTTTCTTGTGCAAATATCAGTCCATCTTCTATGATTTTATTGTTCGTGCATTTTCGTACCGATTGCGCTTCATTCCTGTTCGTTTCTTATCAATCTTCTGCTAAAATACATTCTATGTTTGACCATCACCATATACCATTTATGTGGATATAAGTAGACCATACCACAAGATGGCCTATTTATGGTTTCACAAAAGTAAAATAATCTTTTTAAATTTTATTTGGTTACAAATTAGTAATATTATGGTATTTATCGTCCCTTTATTTTTGAATGGGAAGTAATCCTTTTGGATTTCTATAAGTATACCATGTGAAAATTGATTAATCCAGATAGAAGAATATCTAATTTCAAGATGGTGTAGATGGCTTAAGCAAATCTAAATTTTATGACTTAATAAGTAATTATTAAAAATGTCATACAAGTAAAGTTTAGGGTATATCCTGTCGCAAAATGAATTTTAAGCTTATGTGAAGGTTATCATCTGTAAATACATGTACGGTGGTTTATTAAGAACAAAAGTAATCACTTAGACTTAGTTGTAAAATATATTGATTTTAAGAGTAATAAAATCGCACTACCATCTTAATTTAAAGCATGTTTTTTTAATCAAGGTACAGTTAATCTTACTTAGTGAGCAAGCAACTGTTATGAAGCGTAGAGTCTAGTACTGTGTAACGCTTATACGTGTTATTCTAGCTTTTAGACAGACTAGTTAGTTTCTTTTTCGTCTTCTTCATTCATTACCCATGCATCTTTTGACCTTATCAATTATTTGCTTATAACCTTGACTATTTTATATGTAAGTGTGCATCACATATCTTAAACTTATTTTTATATCCAGCTATAAATAATTAGTCACACTTTATCAAGTCGAGTTGGCAAGTTTATCATCGCCTCGTTTTCAAGCTTCCCATCTTAATGCCTATCTGAATGAACAAGTGTATGAAATAAATTCATCCAAACTTAATCCGCATTTGATTTCTCATTACATTCGTCGCTCAAACGAGGTTAGCATAGGTGTAATATACGAAATTAAGCGAAAGATTTATATTCATAGCACATTCATTTGTTCATTTAAACAGGGAGTCAGACCATGAGCCATCATAGATGTACGCCAAATGTTTACATTCTAATTCTTGATTACTTTCTTATTTCAAATTCACTCATACAAAAGGCATCCTACAAAAAACAGATGTTTTAACATGTAGTATTTTCTGAAAGAAGAACTAATTCTCAGGATTAATTTTAATAAATAGTTTATGGAATAATAGCCAACTTTCATTTGCCAGGAATAACACGGGCCTTCAAGCCTCCTGTCCTTTCCAAACTGAAACTGAATCCCAGTACAAGATCATTTTGATAGCATAATAGTCTTAAATTAGATAAAAAAATGTCTAAAAGGGGGAATAACAAACAAATTTTCATAAGCAAGATTATTTCTGTCTTTACCTTAATTGATATGTTTATTTCGTGACCTGTACACTAATTTAGGTTCAAAATTCTGTTCACAGTTCGATCCAGCCGACTGTAAAAGATTATTTGAAACTTTATTATTGGATAATTTTATTAAATTTTTGCTTGTTGTTTCATTATCGTACCAAACAGGGCATCCATTAGTTACTGGTAATAAGTCATTCACGACTGAATAAAGAGGCCAACATTGAAGGGATGGACAATATTCAAACTGAAATGATAGCAATCAGAAAAAAAAATTGATAAATGGTTAGAAGTAACAAATCATTATTGTTGTGCACAAAAAAACATAACTGGACGAGACTAAACTATATGGACGACCTTTGAACGATTTTTAAATGACCTTGAGAAATATTAGCCGATCAGAAGACAGTTAGTATATAGTAAAAATATATAATACAAAACTCAAAAATTAAAGGGGATACTGTTCTTTTAAATGACTCAAAAACTTCTCAAGGTCAGATATAGGTTCAGAAGTTCTAAAATCATAGTGCATCCGGTACAGGAACTCATCCACGTGGCTCCATAGTAGTCGACATCTAGAACCATGATAAGGTCTTAAAAATTCTTTTAGCCCCGACCATATAGCTTCAATTTTGTTGGTATATTGGTATGGTTTACGGTTTAGGGTTAGAGTTAAAGTGAAGGGTTAGGGTTTAGGGTTAAGGATGAGACTATAAATTATGAATGACCTTTGAGCGACGCTAGAGTGACTCTGAGAGTGTTAACATAATAACTAAGACTAAATGAGGGTTATAAACCTGCGTGAAGAATTCAAATTATGATTTACAGTTCATGGTTAAGGTTAAAAATTATACTTAGGGTTTTCATCACAAACTGACATCAGCTATAATGCCAAAACTCGATTTATACAAATGGATAATTGAATTTCGCGCCAAAATCTTATGATCACTTCCCTTTGTAGACGCTGAATTATCACGTCTTCTCTAAAATCCGTTGTAAGCCGACCGTACGTAAGCATCAGGTACGGAACTTAGCGCCGTAACCTTGAAAACCCGCGAAAGCTTCTGATTGGCTCGTCCATATAGTTTAGTCTCGCCCATAACTGCATTACATATGAGTTTATGATATCAAAATGAATAATCAATGATGACATGTAAATCCTTCAAATAACTGACGTCAGATTCCTAACTGAATATCTAGTTTTATTAGAACTGTTAATGAAAAGCCGTTACACATTCTGCTAGTTTTCCCTATTGTAATTAGTTCATGGAATTCAGCACTGATTATTTCATTAATCGAAAGTGATTCAAATGAGGGAAGTTTCTCACAAAATATCTTTTACAATGAAGATTAGTATGCAACTCTCCAAAAAATAATGTTACATATTCATGTACAAAATCCATTTATTTTACAGTAAGTCAAAATAATAAAATGATAAGACAACTGATTCAGTAATTCCACGAACACAGCTGAGTGTACTCATGTAGAAGTCAGAAATTGATTATTTAAAATGTAATCGTCGTTTATCTACTCTGATATATTGTTAGATTGTAAAAAGAAAATACATTTATTCCAATAAGCCAGACTGTATGCTAAGGAAAGTCCATATATATTTCCTAAACGTCATAAAAGATTTCATCGTTAATTCACACAAAAAGGACTATGTAGATGATCAGATCTATTTTAATCTGATTTTCTTTAATTTCTACATGGTTCACATTTTATTGATCTAGTGTATTTTATCATTCCAGTGTTACCTTATTCTCAATATTCGGTAACTCGATTTCAAATCAATGTTATGAGTCGATTTCACTTATTTTCATAACTAAAACAAATACTTAGGTAAAGAGCCTGATATGAACATGATAAAAATGATTAAACATCCCATAATCTTCACTGTTTTTTAAAAAATAACGTTAAAGAAGTGGTGGATTCCCAAATGGAAGTAAAAATCTCAAAATAATTGAGAGATTATTAAGTGAAAAGAATGGCAGTTATATTCTTTTTCTAAACCGAAAACACTAAGGAATTAGAACAATTTTTATTGTCTTTCGATTCGTAATTTCAAGTAAACACAGTAATCTCGAGTAATGCTTTTCCGTTTAAGGATAGACATTAAAATTCCCAAACACCTTAACACAAGGACATGTTAAGTCTTCTGGACAAATTTCAAATAATTGCATGACGACTTGCGGATATGTTGTAAGTAAGGGTTAAAACCAGAAATTACCTTGAATGATTACTAAATCGATCACAAGTCAGATTACAGTAAAAATTTATTTTCAGTTCTCAAAAGTATTCTGAAACTTAACAAGATTTGACAGAGACTTTAAAAAATTCTGGTGTTGATTGGGACACAGGGGACACCGGCGTAGCAATAGAACTATAAACTTTTTAGACAGATAACCAAATGATTAACAGACCTATCCAAGTAAACTCACTCTATCTTTTGATAGAATAAAGGAGAAATAACTACGGGGTCTGCGATCAAATTGGAGCATAAGGGAGTTAAAATATATGTCAAGTCAGACGCAATAATACGAGAAAGAACTAAACAAATTCCATGTTGACCAAATATACTGTTAATCTCTTAGAGGGAAAAGGTCTTGTGGCTCATTTCTTTACAAAGTACATGTCGACGATTTTATAAACAAATGCAACCAAACCTTAACAAATAAACCATCTAGCTAGAAAATGTGGTACATTTTAAATAATTCCATTTAAGCAACAAATGTTATCCATCATCCGATTTCCATAGGATTTAACTTTCACACATGTTTAGTTTTGAAATAAATAAAACGATTTTTACAAAATGGTAAGCAGAGATGGATAGTGGCTAGCAGTGGAATCCAGGAAGCGCGTTTCGTCCTATTTTGGACTCGTCAGCTGGATGTACCCGCATCTCAGAGTTGATGTAACAAAAAGAAATTGTCGTTGATTTGGAATACGAAAAAAATAATAAACAATACTCTCTTACTTGAACATCTGTTCCATGTCTGAACTGTTGGAAAGTCAACGGTTGAATGTGTAAATCTGATTGAAGGCTATTTTTATAAGATTTAAATCTGCTAAATCCATCAGCAGGATAACCTGGAGCTGATTGAAATGGATAACTGTTTGGAAGAAATGTTTTATGTTTTAACCATTTCCTACATTCTGGTGTCATATATTGTTCTAATACAATTCGTTGATAAGTATTTGGTGAAATCCAAACAGCTTTTTGTTTTGAAACATAAATATGGCCAACACGAGTGTTTGAACTAGCTAATTCAACCAAAAGTTTTTGATCATCCTTTGTGAAGTTTCTAGCTTTAGTTACTTTGAACAGAAAATAAATAAGTGAATACCATGATCAAAGCAGTAGCCGTTTTAAGAAATCTATTCAAATTAAATGAAAACAGTTAAACTCGAACAGAAATGGATCGATCAAACTGTTGATAAAAATCAACTTTGATTCTTTTAGCATGAACATTCTTCCTTGTGTGCTGTAATGAAAGATGTTAACCTATCTAGTTTGAATCTAATAAAATTAGCTAATTTTATATAATTCTTTGAGGAAATCATCCAATTGTGTCACAAGACAAGCCCTCACATGGAATCCTGAAGGTCGAAGGAGAAGAGGAAGACCAAAGAACACCTTACGTCGAGAAATAGAGACAGACATGAGGAGAATGAACAAAAACTGGATAGAACTAGAAAAGAAGGCCCAGAACAAAGGGGGTTGTAGAATGCTAGTCAGCGGCCAATACTCCATTGGGAGTAACAGGCGTAAGTAAGTAAGTAATATAATCCTTCACCGGAAACTTTCTGAAAGACAGAAATTCAAGGGGTTATGGTTATGTACTACATGAAATTAATTTCACTAAATCAAATTCATTTATTGTGATATACATGGGATAAATCTCATTTGATCACATTGCCAAAGTGTTGGTTACCAGTTGATCAAGATGTTCGACTTGATAATTCGAAATTTGATCTGTTTTCCAATGCAATTTAATAACCAATTCATCATTTCAGTTTTGTGTATAGTTTTCCATCAAATATTTTCAAAATATTCCTTCGCCTTTTTTCTTAGTCCTTCTGTGGTATGCGGCAACATGTATCAATTCCTTGTTCTGTAGAATTTAATTTTCTAGAACTTCTTCAAATCGTGATATTATTCCAAATGTTAATAAGACCAGTGCTCTACTGGCTAGAAATGAGTTCGTGATGATTAAGAAATTGTACACTTGTTAGTTACGGAAATACTAAGTCGAGAAGTTCCAATCTAAAATTTATTGTATTCCTAATGTAAACTACTTTGTCAGGAAATATTTCACTAATTAACATAAATCACACATTTTTTGGTTACAAAATGGATAGATATCGATCTTTATAGAGCACTTTATTAAAAAAAAGTGAAAAAAAGTTTATTAATGTGCCTAAATCAATATCGCCCTGGCAACAAAAGAGTGCATATTGCTAAGTATTGAATTTTGTATAAAAATACTTTAATTACGTTTTATTGATTTACGTTTCTTAGGGAGAACATTTGGATAAGGTTTGTGTTAATAGCATACTAAAGCGTATTTAGTATAATTAGCCTTTTAAACACCTTTTTGATTGTTCGAAATTGTCTGGATATATTTTATTTAGTTTTGTGCATATTAAAATTTGATAACAGTGATCTGAAATAGATAATTTAATCAGTTAGACAATATCGTTTTGTAAATAGGTAATATTTGCTATTTGAAATACATAAAAATTCAGTTCATATATTTCCATACTCATCATACATAAGAGACTGATGGAATTCAATTGATCAGAAGGGGTTTTGTGGAGATTTCAGTATTTTGATAGTAGAAATTATGAGTCAGTTGAAGCTGGACCACCATGGGAAACCTGGAAGCACCGGACGCCCGTTTCGTCCTATTGTGGGACCTTTCAGCAGTGCGCATCCACGATCCCGCATCCACGAGATTCGAAGTCAGGACCTACCAGTCTCGAGCCAGAGCACTTGACCGATAAACCATTGAGCCGGTCGGCATCCAACGGTGTTAATATCTAACTTCAACCAATCCACGAAGTTTGAGCAACTGTTCACCAATTGTCTTCAGTGAGACGTGGTTGAACTCCACTGGTTACTGCTTCCCACTAGGACATGTATCTTGAAGTCAGTCACTATTGAGCATATGATTATAATCAGAAGGGGTTTTGTGGAGATTTCAGTATTTTCATAGTTGAAATCATGGGTCAATTGAAGCTAGACCACCATGGAAAACCTGGAAGCACTGGACGGCCGTTTCGTCCTATTGTACTCGATTCGACTGAGCCAAATACTTATTTGAGCTAATCACTATTTAATGTATATATGGTAATCAGTATTAGACGAACAGATTTAAAGTTATGTAGAATTTCGTTTGAAAGTCCAAAGTAAAAACATTAAAATGAAATTGAATGAATTATTTTAACAATGTCGTTATTTACTACAACAGATTTAACGAGTTAACACAAATACATGATAGCCGTCAGTAATGGGTTATGGTGATTATTAAATTTCATTGGGACCATGAACCGTTCTAATCTAGGTCCCCATTAAATACATAGAAGCACTAGATGACTGTTTCGTCTTAGTATGGGGCTGCTCAGAGGTGAGCCATCTACTACCTTGCTCACGGAATTGGACCTGGGACTTTCGGTTTTTCAGTGATTTAAATTTGCTTGGTTCATGATTTCAATGTAATTCAATAATCTCCACAACCCCATACTGACAATTATGATGTGATCACTAATAACTAACCTCGAGAGGAAATTCCCGGAGTTCTAGTGTGGAGCCACAACTAGTGGAGCTAATCCATGTTGGGCTTGAGGTAGTCACTCACCAAAGAAAATAGAAGGTGGTTTCACAATGTTGTGGATTATTTGAGACTAGACATTAACACCGTTGGATGCCAACTCAGGGATCTAGATGTTAAGCATTTGCGCGTGAGATCGAAGGTCCTGGGTTCAAGTTTCGTGGGTGGGATCGTGAATACACACTACTGAGGAGTCCCATACTAGGACAAAACGGCTGTTCGGTGCCTTCAGGTCCTCATTAGTGGTCTAAGGTCGGTTATTAATTTAGATGACATACACGATATTTAAAGTGAAGTGGTGTAGGTCAAAGATTTATGGTTATCATGCAACTCAGATGTAACTACTTGTATTATCATCAAAGTTTAATTGCTAAGTGAATAATTTAAGACAATTAATCAGTACTAATACCTACAACATCTCTCTAAATTCGTACATTTAGTATTGTATAGTGCCTTTATTATTGTATCTCTTGTACAGCTAGCCTTAAATTAAGCTAAGGTAACCTAAAAATTTATTTGTCATCTAAGATCTAGTCACTATATAGTGACTTTAGTGAAATTATATCGTGAACAGTAGATTAAACAGCGATGTTTCAATTCTACCGTGAGAATCAAATCATTAGTTGACCTTCATGTAAAATCTGCTCTATCAGTTAATCCAAAGCAGCGAAACCTTGACCAAATACAAATTATCCGAGAGGGCATGCTGTTCTGAGATCTTAAGTGTCTGATGAAGCTGTGAATTGACTGACCAAAACCGTGGACTGCATTAAAACAAGGAACATTCATAAGATCAGTGTGCTCTATTTACGGCTAACGTAACAACAAATATCTGTGTAAGATATCAGAATCTTTGGAGAATTTCTGTACTTCACGATGACCTACTTTTACCAGTGAAAACATTTAATTATAAATTAAATTGAAAACTTGAAAAGTGTATTCATGTGTTTACTGAAATACTTCTGCAATATAAAATCGACTTTATTCACAAAAGTAGTGAATTTACGAGTAAGAAAAATATGATTTAGTGACAGCTATGAACATTAGATTGAAAATCAACGTTGAAGAATAGGATTTCTTTAGTTTGTATGTGATAGCAGCTTATGCTGTTAGTACACCCAATATCGAAACATAAAAAATAACTGATGGTAATTAAATGGTTCTCTTCTAAATAGAGTCCGATCCTCAAGTGAGTAATGTAGCTTAGTGGTAACGTCTCTGATCTTGAAGCTGAATGATACCTATGTGAAAAGCACGCGAAGCATCAGTCCCTTCGATACTTCAGAAACCATGTTGTGATAAGCGCTAACATGCACGAAGTCTAGGCCTATGGTTTCTTGTCGACCGACTGCATCCAACCAAGACGTGACAATGAATTTGTTGAGAAACGTTTTTGTAATCTTAATTTAATGTGAGTTGAAAAACGTATATCAAATATACAGTGAATTATATACAATGATACTGAATCCCTACATATGTTTGAAGAAATAAAAGTAAAATAGAACTTACACTTGTCAGCTCTCCATTCTCGACCGGAAACTACGATAGCTGCATAGTAACGGAGATTCTCAAAACTAGATGGTTTTTCCATATTAAGGATGGGACACTTTGGAAATGGCCAACTGTAGGGTACAAGAACACAATCACCTGGTTCAATAGAGTGTCTGATAGCGTGCTCTAAGTCAATGATTTCAGTTATATCAAACCATTCGTAATGAAATGTATCCGAATTCGAGGTAGTTGCTCTAGATTTTCGCAAATCAAAGCTTGTTAAATTGTGTATGGGACCGAATCGTACAAAAACTTGATCTACAGGTAGATGGGGTTTCTGGAACAATAACACAATGAATTGAATGTGTAGAATAACTTATGAGAAAAATTAGTGTGTTAAACTTTATTTTTAGTGTTTTCTCATAAATTTTTATATTCTTTAACAGAAACTAATCGTGGTGACTAGAATCTAAAAACAAATGTTCGAACAGTTAGTGAATTAATGGAAAATAGCGTGAATGAAACACTTTGAAAAAGTCAATGAATTTGTAAATATCAATGCCAGGGTTGGACTTGATAGTTTCAAGTAAACTGAACATTGAATAGAAAGCAGTGGCTACCATTAAGTCATGAAACGTCGGAAATACAATTTTCCTACTCATTGGGATATAAACCTTTTTTATTATTATTATTATCATAACAAACTATTTTTGCAGACAGTCATCAAAATCTAAAACTGTAATATCAACCTAGGTATGATTATCGAGGTTTGACTTGATAATTTCAAATAAATTGAGCATTGCGTGCATTCTTGATAATGAAAGATGTATTTAAAAGATTTCAATGAACAAACAGTTGAGATTTTCTGAAGTCTCGTGGTTTAGTGTAAGGCACCTCTACATCGAATATACAAATCAATAATTCAAATGAAGCCACTTTTAGATAGTACAGAGGAATGTTTAGTAAAACCAATCAAAAACAGGTTTGATCAAGCCAATCTCATGTCACTCCGGTCAAGGTTATTTATATTTTTATAAGACATGCTCGTGCATTTATGTCTATGTTATGGGGTGTGGAAAATGCTGCATTTTCCATGTAAAAAGGTAGAGTTGAGTATGTGTGATGATCGTGTCAGATGTGGATAGAATCAGAAATATTAGCTCGGATAGATGGCTAGAGTAGGATGGATAGTAAGGTCTTCTTTTTGACCGGGGCCAGTAGGATATAGCAATACATGTAAGGTTCACCTACTCGCCTTTCGTTGTAATTAGAATGTCTTTTTATATTATTTTGATGTCGTCATGATGGTTACTGAAGACAGCATCCACTGCTATTGGCGATCTAATTTGGAGTCCTTTAAGTTCTATAGGATTATTAGGTGGTTTTTTGAGTACCTAAGACCTTTGACAAAATTCCACGAAATGACTCTTCTATACAGAGGATATCACGGTCCTAATTTGTAGACGCAATTCTGTGTTTACATAGAGAGGATCTTATCTTTTATGCAAACGAAAGCATTTTGTTATGTCTTTTGCCCTGTCAAATATCACGTGACCGAATCGCCAGTTAACCAGCACGAATAGCCTAGAATCAACTCTGAGTTCTTGTCGGTTCTTCTTGCCTTGCTTTGTCCGTTGAGTCCAGGACACAATCTCATCTTCCACTGTATGAATCATGTATTTCAAATATACGCAGAATGAGGATAACTTAAGAGCAATAATGGTCAGTAGATCAAATCAAAGTAATATGGACATACATAAAATCTAGTTACCTATTAGTGACCCTTACTTACTTACTTACGCCTGTTACTCCCAATGGAGCATAGGCCATCGACCAGCATTCTCCAACCCACTCTGTCCTGCGCCTTCTTTTCTAGTTCTTTCCAGTTCTTGTTCATTCTTCTCATGTCTGTCTCTATTTCTCGACGTAATGTGTTCTTTGGTCTTCCTCTTCTCCTTTGACCTTCAGGATTCCATGTGAGGGCTTGTCTTGTGAAACAATTGGATGATTTCCTCAAAGTGTGTTCTATCCACTTCCAGCGCTTCCTTCTGTTTTCTTCCTCCACTGGAATCTGGTTTGTTCTCTCCCACAGTAGCTTGTTGCTGATAGTGTCTGGCCATCGGATCCGAAGTATCTTGCGTAGACAGCTGTTAATAAACACTAGTATCTTCTGGATGATGTCTTTTGTAGTTCATCAGGTTTTCACCCCATACAGTAGTACTGTCTCTACATTTGTATTGAAAATTCTGATGTTGGTGTTGGTTGACAGACAATTGTTTTGAGTTGCAGATGTTCTACAGTTGTAAATATGCTGCTCTTGCTTTGCCGGAACTCGCCTTCACATCTGCATCAGATCCACCGTGTTCGTCAATGATGCTGCCCAGATATGTAAAGGTGACCCAATAGGAAGATATGTAATAACATTCTATAAATAGTTTCTAGCAGTTGCCGTTCATTTGTTCTTCGTTGGTATGTGACAATTTAAGAGGGTGTTATTTGTTTCGTAATATACTTTAATTCTGTATTTTAAGACTCTGTAGTGCTTCTGTTGTACCATGAAGATAGGGTTAAGCTACGGTATCAATATATAATACTACATTCAAACTACTACTCAGTAATAAATCGTCTCGTTTTACTACACTTTCAATAATATTCATAAGAAAATTATCAAATTCCAAGATGTTAATAATAATCTCATGTTTGTTTTGCCTGTCCTCTTTGTGTATAATGCTCTTATTCGATCTTCTAAAAAGATGTAATCAACCCTTCTAAATATGAGAATTTTTGTGCCCAGTTATTTACATTTACATCCAGTTTTAATGTTTTTTCTCTTCAGGATTTACAGATAAGTATCCACTTTTACGTATAGGTAAACTCTACTTGCGACCGACGTATTTATAAAAGTGACATGAATAACAGTTTATAAATTATTATAGTCATTGGCACCAGAAACAAAGTTATTGAGAGTATGCTGAGCATTATATATTGTACCGAAATATAATATTTAATAAAGCCATTAATAATAATAAATAAAAGTATTAAACAAGTCAGTCCTCTCTTTGCACAAAAGTGAGGTTAGTATAAAGCTCTCAAGGAAGAGTACTTCCATATTCATGAACGGTTACTATAAGAGCAGGAACAATTGAATGTTGACCCATAGATAACAGAATAACACAAGATGGTCTTCACAGAAGTCAAGTATGGAAATACCAAATTTAATCATCAACACTCTAACGCATATATGATGCTTAACAGTCATACACTTAAGTTTTAGTACTTAGAGTTACGATGCAAGTAGTAAGGACCTTGGCATTTCCCTTTAAAAAGATAAAATAATCAGTGATATGGGATATAGATTTTCCGAATGACCATAATTTAATCTCATTTTAGTAACTCTAGTTATTTTTTAACAAATAAATACTGGAAAAATCGGATGTGTACGTCATCTAAATAAATTTCTAAAGATACTCGTTAAATAAAAAACATTACAGTTGGCTGCGCTGCGTTAACTTAAAATAATACAAAAAGTGGTATTATGGACAAAAGCTTTTGATTTAAAAAGTTACTTACAACAGTTTGAATTGAACCCAGGTAGTAATGACCATCTGATAATCTCCTCGCTAGTACATTTTGGTTGTCAAGGAGATTTGATATTTGAGCATAATCACCAGTAAACCAGTTAAATAAACACTTTCTTGAGTTCGCTTCATCTTTTGCTGACTCATAAATCCTACGATTCAAATCATTTACTAGTTTTTCATTGACAGATACACGTGACCACAGATGAGGATGAATACAACAATCGGAAGTACCAAAAGAATTGGGGCACGTATGTGGTCTAAAATCTTTAAAAGGAGCCAACAAAATCAACTGTGTTTTAAAACTTTATTTGATGTGGAAGTTTACTAATGAACAGATTTCGAAAAATATAAGACACTGATGATGCAACGGATATTCTAGTTTTACAACTAGATACCAGTAGCACCTTCTAAATTCGGTTGTTCCCAGTCAGATAGAAATCAGAAGTCGGACGAGAATAGGCAGGAAAGATATATTTGATTCGTTACCAATATATCGAGGACCTTTTCTATGAGCTGGCTAATGAAACGTAGGAGCTGTGTCCCACGCAGTATTGAAACGTGATCTGGTGCGGATGCATGACCGAAAGCCTTCAGCTAAACAAGTCCACTTAAACAACGTGGTCAGCATCCAATGTCGAACACTTAATGAGCTATTGATTTTGGGGAATTATTTACAGCTACAGATCACTCCCCCCCTAGTGAGGTAGTGATGCCCCTAAGACGTGACCAGCCAGAAGTTTAAACCCAACGAATTTGTCGTTGGTAAACACTCTTCTGATAGCTTGCTTCGTTTAGCAGCGTCTGGTCGTCTTTCCTTAAACTATGAGACCAAAATGTACAACGTAGCAATAAAGAAATATAGTACAATGAAAATTTCGGTTCCTTGCGAAACTTCGTCGTTCTTTTCCAGCCGTCCTGGAAAAGAGGAAAAATAAAACGTGTGAGTGCACGTCAAAAATACACTCGTACTTGCGTAAGGACACAAGATGAGCGGAAAAAAATAAACTGATACACTTACAAAACAGCGTAAAAGCGATCGGAAAAAAGGTTTTCTTTTGGGTTTTTTTCAATATATAAATATATATATATACGCTCAAAAAAAATGTTTTTTTTGTTTGTTTTTTTTTACATAAATAAAAAATGAGCATATTAAAAATATTTATAATAAACTTTGAAAGGGTAATTCCAGATAAAGCTTATGTCCTACGTGCAATATTCTATAAGATGTTCTGGAAATCTTACTCGTCTTCCAGAACGCGTTGTTTTAGGTTTTTCTATCGACGTTGACGAAGTATCAAGTTGTGTGTCGGTTGTCGTGTAGGGTACTACGAGTGTAGTAGCTGTGTCGTTTGCTTGTACCGAAGGAAAATCGACGTAGCTAGGGTTTCCTTCTAGGTACGCAGCTTTGAGTCGATCGATACTGATGCTATCTTTCGTACCGTTCTTATCAACTACATAGTACTTAGGTTCGCGTTGAAGAACTTTGAAGGGTCCTTCGTATGCTGATTCGAGGGGTCGTCGATGTGAGTCTCGACGAACGAAGATGTGTGTACTATGTCGTAATTCGGGTTGAACGAAAACATCAGTTGATTGAGGTCGAGTGTGAGCAGGTTTAACTGAACGCATAGCGTTTGTAAGCCTACTCGTGTAAGAGGTCCTCGTATTACATTCTAAGGTCTTTCACAATCTATAATTAACCAGACATTTTAATAAATAGAAAAAAATTAAATAGTAAGTATTTCATTTTGATGAAATTCGAAATTCATAATGATTTGCCTGCTAAGACTTTAGAAATCGCTAGATAAATATTATTTAGAAATAAAAACCATTTTGACTTTTTAGACTGATTACACTGATTACATCTAAAAAATGCACAGACAGACTCATGGTAATGTAATTTAGTGTGTAATAAAAGACTTGGAACTTTTATATTTAATACTAACCTTGAGTCTATATAAAATAAAGCACATATACATGTATGCATAATTTTTAGAACGAACTGTAATTATTTTTCCTGTTTCTAACTTTCGTCAGGCACATTTATTGCAAAATTAGTAAACGGTGTGCAACGTTTATAAATATTGTATTGGGAATATTCTGACCTACTAACATATTTGAGAAGATTGATGCTCTTTCGACTTAAGTAGCTACATTTTTGGAGAAGGCGAGGATTTATTGAATTAATTTTAAAACACTTTGGATAGTAGTTTTCATTTCACTTGAAGCTGAAGTCTTTTACAACTAAGAAGAGGGATGGATCAAAAATCTTTGGAGCTCATATTCTATAAACATAACGATTTAACTGGATCCCATTACCTATGACTTTAGCGTTTCATACTGTTATCTTTTGATGAACTGTCAGATGTCTTATAACATTATTTCAAATTAACTGTATTAGCGTAAGTTGAGATATTTCAGAAATTTAATTTAATATCAATCGAGATATCCAAAAACATTATTATATTTATTGCTGTTATTTATTTGTAATTACAAAGGCATACGACGGTAGTGATACCTGTAGTGTGAGACAAGTCGGTTTCACACTACAAATGTTTGACAATAGATGTAGGTGAGCCTGATCTAACAAAAACAATTTTGAGTAAATCACAGAATCTCGATGAATACTCGGTGGTAATTTTTTTGCTGATTTGCCACAGCAATGCTCATTTGCTTTGAAAACGCCCTGCAACTACATGAATTATGGTGTAGGTATAGAACATGGCAGTCTTGTTTTCATGAAAGCTATATTTAAAAGACTTAAAAATAGCTTAAATTTGTGTTTATTCTTCCTGAGTAAATTTATTGTTCAGATTACAAGTAGTCCGCTATAATTACCGATTTTTGCGGTACGTTGGTCCAAATAACGTTTGGGTAAAAATAGTTAAACTACTTTTGATAGTCTAAACGAAATTTACAGAACCAAAAATCTACCGGAACATTCAAAATTATACAGTTCTTTGTTAACTAAACTATCAAACACAAATAATCTTTCTTTTGACCACGAAAAAGTGTTCCTATCAGTTTCGGTGTGAATTATCAATTTTTACACATTGGTTTATTAGATATAAATTATTTCTTTTACACATATTAACTCATACTTACATCTATCAGTAAATTCAGAAGAGGCTGACAGTGTTGGCTTCATTAACACAGACTCATGCTCTTTAGAATCACTCACAACGTAAACTTTTCCGCAAGGTAATTTGATGGACTGTGAATAACTAGTAAATGACAACATATGAATTTGTACTTCTTTGGATCGTTTTGATGTTCTCAAATGACTAAAATCACGTTCATTTTTGTCCATTAACCATGTAGTGCAACCATTTGAGCATGTTTTGATAAATGAACATAATCGAACAATAGCGAATGTTCCAGATGCTAACTCAGAAATGCTTTTAAGGATTTCAATTCCAGAAACATCAGTTTCAGAAAATGGTACATGTTCGTTAGCCACAGTCTGTGAAGGTAAAATAAATTGAAGCAATAATAAATAGTGGTGCTTAGAGTTTTTCGTGATTACAAAAACAGACATTGTACCGTTAAAACATCAAGTTAAAATAATTGTGGGAATCAAATTGTGTCCAAAAAACACAGATGTTTAGGACTGAAGGCTTTATAGGTGCGCGAAAAACATGACAGAGTAAAAAACGTCATGTAAAAGCCCGAAAGTATTTTTGTATCGCTTTTTGTGAGATTAATTCAGCATAAAAAGGATTAGCTGTAAGACGAAGTTCGGGACAAAACGATGTCTTTTATCTCCGTGTTGTTTTCCAACTTGGCTTTCAACAATTTCAGAATGTGTGTGCAAGAAAATTAAGGAAACAAAGCCTGAGGTTCTCACATGATAAAAGACAGCATAGAACGACGTAATTTTGATGAATTAGAAAAGGATTCAAGTCTATTGTGACTGAAATAAGTAAGATTATTGGAAACTTTGTCTTTTAGATTAGTGAAGGAATCTCGTTGTTTGAAAAACCTCCTTATTTGGGGTGCGAGTTCAAAGCAACAGACGGAATTTTTAAAAATAGTTTACGATGTAACTTAAGGACCTGGATTCAAGCAATAACACCTTGTACCATTTATGGAACAAACACTTGAATTTTTTGGAAGAGTATGAGGTAGATGGCAAGGAAATGTTACTAACTTTTTCAAAAGAGAAATATCAGAACGCCCTGAGTCTTTTTGATGTCTTACTGTATTCTGAGTTGGCCCATAACAATACCATTTATCGTATGGAGAAAAACCACTGTGCTTTACTTTATATTATCTAAATTTACAATTTGGACATAATAATAAGTAAGGAAATTAAACATGAACATTAACAAGACTTAAAGGCTGATCATACGAACACCTGTCGTACTTTTAAAACGTGCCCGTTCGTTTAAAAAGCAATCAACTATTTATTCACAAACTTCCAAATGTAAATGATACAATCACTCGTATTGAATTAAATATTGTTGAATGTTGCTAAAAAAGGAAGAAAGTAGGGTCGCTTACTTTTTCAGGAACTATAAGCCTGATATGAATAGATGCTTTGATGCTAAGGTGCGCTATTTTATCCAGCAAACAGCTGTCGCCCCCGAATTTGTAGAGAATTGTTGTTGGAACAAATAAATAAATTTCAAAAGTTTTGTCCGAAGCGAACTGGTCGAAATCAAAGTTCAGGGCTGTTTCAGGTTTTTCTAAGTGTTGAAATGTCTTGACCCATCTTAGAGAAGCGCGTACGTTTTTTTCATCACATATAATGAATTCTTCGCAAAACGTTGTCGGATTCTGAAAAATGCAATTAGCGATTTGATTACAAAAAAGAAAAGACATACTGAGGCTGAGAGTGCAATATTAAAACGATAATTTTTGTTGTGAATGAGTTTGAGTAGTGATAACTTTAATAAATTCAGAAAACAGTAATTACGTATCAATTCGTCAACTATCCAAATCATTATTGTGTAACCAGAAATAGGCCATAATACGCTTTCCTTGTAGCAACCCATAAGGATTTCGATGTTTATTCAAAATAGATTCTGACTTTTAACATCTAATTAGATGTCAGAAGAATTTGAACTTCCTTCATAACTGATATTTCGCGATCATCAAACTTATGTTTATTATCATGGGAACCTGTACAGCGAACAGATGTAGTAGCAATATCAAAGACGCTGGATCAATTTTCTTGATTTTCAGAAAGAGGTTTATCACTATTAAAACTGAAAATTAAAGATTCAACTAGCTAAAATACATTGGAGATATATCTGCAATAACAGGTAAACAAATTCAAATAATCCATGCGGCGACAATGGAGATAAACAACAGAAATTGCGTTTTCGTGATTCCAAAATCCCGGAGTTTAAGAACATGAATAATGGAGTATCGCTTGATTCGTGTCTACTTGAGGCATGTTTTTGTTTAAATATTTAATAAATCTGACGAAATGAACTATTCGGTAGATTGATGCACCCTCCAGATCAACAGCTTGTCTGGTGTTTCATATTACTAGGGTATAATGGTGATCTACTGATGTGAGGATTATGTTAAATATGACGATTGACAAGAAACAAGAGAACCGGATTCGGCAAGTGAACAAGTATTTTGTATCTGATGGACCTAAAGATGAACAAATATAAAGACGATGGTTAGATGGAAAGGTGTGTTTGATTGTACGAGGAGAAGGGAGAACGCGAAGCTTCCTAAGTGACTACTTAGACCATTAGGACGTTTTATCTGGCCTTGGTCTTATCTTGTGTCCATGTATGAGCGAGTTTGGAATCAATATCAGATTCCGTCGAAACTGCTGATCATAAGGTACTAATTACCAGCATAAACATCTTTGACCATTTTATGTACGGGTCGAATTACAAATCTACTGTTCAAGTAGTCTTAATTAATTGTTGATCTTCAGTCCGAATCTCACTTACAGAAAGTTCTTTGACATAGTTATCCCACTCAATATTTCGAAACCTGATTAAAGGCCCTAAAGATGGCCTTGAATTTTTCAGTAGTTAGGGTTCCTAGTCGTCAAGCAAACTCATAGCATCTGGTATCGCATTATTCGCTAGGTTTATTACGTCCCACAATACACAGAAGATTTTGATATCCCTAATTCACTTCACATTGTTGGGTATCCATTGTAATTTGTATAAGTAGTGGCAGGCTTAATGTGTCATGGCTTAGATAAATCTGAAGAACCTACTTGCGTGGTTGAATTCAAAAGTAACTAGCCTTTTCAGGATGACGAAAAACTGATGTATCCTGGTCTATGCGGAGAAGTATCATGATGATAGTTATAATGGACAGAGTTTTTATTTACTGCAACTTTTTCGTTCTGGGGAGCAAAGAAATGGATTCACGACAATCTCACCTTTCTTAAACATCTTGGCATGTTCATCTCAGTAATAGAACTTCAAAAGTGACTGATAGAAATAGGGAACTGGTTGTTTCACAGGATTACTGACTGCATTGCAAGTGATGTCATTGAGACATTGATTAGCGTTAATTCATTGACTCATAATCAAGTTACCTAAAACAGAAAACTGTTGGGCAATAAGATTGGAAAGAAGCATTCGTCTGCCTAGTTTCTTCCATTCGCTAGTTGTACTTTAAAGATTAATAAACATCTTTAATCAACTACTGGGTATGGAGTTAGCCAAAGGAATTAGGAATGGTTGTCGTAAAAACGACTGGTAATCAGACAGAGACAATCAAATATCACAGTTGTTCCTCCAAATGGGATGATATGTTCCTAATGATCAGTTTATGAATGAACAACAAAATTGTCAGAATAAATAATATATTTTTAATATCCCAATGAGTAGAAAAATTAGATTTTCTGACGTTTTGTGACTCAGTGTAAGCCACGTCTTCAGAACATAAATAACCAACGTAAAATTAATCCAAGTTTAAATAATACAACGGAACAATAAGAATATTAAGTGACTAATCAAATAACAGGTCTAAATAAACCAATGTCATGTCATTTCGGTCAGGTTGATTCATAAGCGACATTCATGTAAATATGTGTGTGCATGTATGTGCACTATAAAAGATGAAAATTGAGTAAATTTTGTAGTGAAAAATGGATGGAGTTCAGTTTGTAAGTGTTATGACTTGACATAGCCGTCGCCAATTTGTTATGTTTTCGACCTAGGCGGTAGCTAATTGTTATGACTTGATCAAGGTCGTCGCTGATTCGTTATGACCTTACGAATTTAACAAGGACGTAATTCGCGTAAATTGTCCACCAATAGAATACGACTTCTACGACCTTCACACTGTGACAATGACGTTCGATTAGTATGAGTAATCTAGCGTCCTTATCGGCCCTTATCCGCCTAACCCGTCCACTTGAGTCCAAAACACCAATAGCAGTTGCTGTAATGCGAATCGTTTATTTCAAACATACTTTATCTATATACCAGACAGGCAGACCACACCACACCATAAAACAGAAAATAATATTTGTACAAAACCAGGTCAAATGAGGCTGTAAGCGTGGGAGACAATAATCAATAAACTGAGTACAACTTAGGAACAGTAAATCATACAATAATAATCAATAGGTCAAAATGAAGCTTACAATAAAATGAATATAGATATAGATAATCTAGTCACCGAATAGTTATACAATAAGAATGATAGTCCAATAGTAGGTCCTGCAAGTTACCCGTACTTATGTCTTCGCTACTACATAACAGTAAGGTAATAGTGTGAGTCGTAAATAATATCAGACTAGGTGGTTACGATAGATAGTCCAAGTAGGATGTATGGTAAGGCCTTCTTTTGTATTAATAAAGGTAGGATTAAGAAAAATATGGAACGCTTCAGCTACTCTCTTTTCTTCATACTTGGATGAACATTTTTGTATTATTTTGACATTTTTCAAACCGATTCGGTGGTCGTTGAAAATGGCGTGAATTGCTAGTGCCGATTTAATTTGAAGTCTGTCCAGTTCTATGGGATTATTAAGTTTATTTATGTACCTAACATGTTCTTTGACACGAGTCAAGATTTTGCGAGATTTCTCTTCAATGGAGAAAGCATCACAATCGATACAACACAGTTTGTAGACACTTTTCTTTGTAGACATGGATTGGATTTCTTCTTTAATCTACCTAAAGTATTTCAGACCTTTCTATATTATATTGCTTGCTCACGATATGCGAATCAGGAAGAGATGTGAAATATCCCATCCAGCTTCAGAAAGCTGAAACATGTTAATTCGTGTGAAGCTCATTATGAAAATATTGAACATGGTTCTTCAAAGATCCCAAATAAAATGTGACCAATTATTCGATTATTAGATATATTGATAGTCACGGATATTGCTCTGTTATAGCTCGTATCAAGGATGAAATAGCGTAAGACTCAAGGATTAGAATGTCTACGGTCAGCTTAGAAAATTGCGAATAAACCGGAATTGGCTTCTTCATGTCTATGTGCAGATATGCGACAGTCAGCCGCCAGGAATAAGCATTGTGCATTACCTCATGAAGCTATGAGGCCACATATTGGAGTTTTCTTCAGCTGCGACCAGTCAACAAGCATTGCTATCTGAAGGCCGAATTCAGTTACTATGAGTTAGTTCAATGCCCAAAACCAGCTAGTAACTGTAAAAGCATACATCTTGATACCGCCAAACTCTGTGTTCCGACTGGCGTGATAATAGTAGTTTCATGCTTGTTGAATAATTGAATAATATATATTTCTAATAAATGCACGACAACTTTACAGACGTGATCCATAATTTATGCCCTCGTCAACCTTTTTTTGTTAGCTGATGCGAGAAGGCTAATTGCTTGAATTGCACGGACAACAAAACATACAGAGTCAATGGGAATTTGGCTTTGATCACCTTTATAGGCAGTGGCACTTAAGCGGGTAAACATTTTATAGAACCACTTCTTACACTCATCACATTGCATTCCTTCGTCTACAGGGAATAGGCAATATGGCTGTTCACACTTGTGAGGAGAGCCGACCATCTTGAAAATTGACTAAAATGGTAGACAAAATGGATGCGCAGGACAAATTTCAAACCGTGACCAAATAAATCAAGCCGAAGTCGATCAAAAATGCTTTGAAGGGCGAGACTGTAATTTATGGAAGCGTTTGAGGGATTTCAAGGTCTTAATGCCAATTTCAGTTCCTGATGCTCATGTACGATCGGTTTACAGGGACTTTTAGAGAAGACTTGACAGTTAGGCGTCTACAACAAATGTGACTACTAAGAAAGTCCTTCATTTGTGGTTGTGGTAATTTGGTGACTTGTAGAACTTGTGCAGACTACAGTGATGTTGTCATTAGATGTAATATATGTTGAAGGAAGACGTCTGCTAGAATAGGAACATTTATTGTCCAATCCAGATTGAGACTAAGGCATATTATAAAAGTTGCCGCGAACTGTATAATAAAAGCACCGGCAACATTGGCTGCATTAATCACAGATGTTACTGAAGCTTCGGCTGTTCAGTGGTATGAGTATTGTAGGGACATATCCGTAATAACAATGACAAAGTTACAAAACTGGAGTACAAACAAACAATAATGAAACTATGTGATCGAGGCTGTGAGGGTTCTGATGACCTTATCATGGCTTCAGAGATAAACTATTATGGAGCCATATGGATGAGTTTCTCTACCTTATGCATTACGATTTTAAAACCTTTGAACAATTTCCTAACCTTGATAAGTTTTTGAACCATATAAAAGAAGTGTATCCACTTTAATTATTTGGTTTTGTATAATATGTATTTTTACTCTATACTGACTGTTTACTAATTGGCTAACATTCTCAAGGTCACTTAAGATTCGTTCAAATGTCTCCCATAAACTGCAGTCTCACCCCTTGATGCAGTAAATACACAAAACAAGATCAAAACACATAAATATAATATCACTGTAACTGTAATAAATTCAATCAAGTGTAAATAGTTGTTTTAATGCGCAATTTACAGTCAAAACAGTGCGCGTGAGCAGAAAACGTACTTTTAGTACTTCATTAAAAAAGAAGGGTAAGTATTATGAGGTGACGAAAAGTTAGCGGAGTTAGCGGATTCAAAACATGGCTAGAAATACAGCTGCAATAATTACACTAACTTAGGTCACAGCAGTAGTTAACAGATCAGGTTATATTTGAATTACCTTGATATTGGAACAAGAGTAACCAGAAATTTTATTACAAAACGCAATAGCACTAACATTTTAATGACCACAAAATTGCCAAGATTATTCGGAGTGTGACAGTGCTTTTGCCTGAAACGCGTTTGTATTCGAAATATAACAACCCAGTCATATCAAGAGTGCGTAGTCCCGTGACCTGGTGCGGATGCGTGATCAGGTCAACATCAGTGTTGCAGACACACAGGACTATTTACTTTGATGATTTGTTTACCGCTACAATCCGTAGTTTTACTAGA